ATACAATAATATAATTAATCTTTTAAGAGACAATATTTACAGTGATCACAGAATTAAATTTGTCTTTTTTGACAATATAAGGTTAAACAAATACATACATTAGGCTATACATTAAAAGCATTTGTCATTTTGTTGGTTGTCATTTCAAAAATGTTTCTAAGGGTTTTCAGTCGTGGTTAACATGAATGAAACAAAGAGTGGGAACTGAACCAATAATACCACTGTTGAAGGTAGCAGTGCTGTGTTGGCCTGGCATGCTGTGGTTCGTATCTACACACAGATGTAAACCTATGACACAGATCTAAACATAAAAACTGTTCATGCTGAAGCCATAACATATTACAAAAGATTTCACAACAGACTTCCATTTCATCCTAATCCCCTTATATCCAATATAGCTTCTCGCACAATTCCTGGCAACCCAACACGTCGACTAAAAAGAAATTGGTGTCGTGATTTACTAAATGAATAATCCAAAAATTAAAAAAAAATCTATATATATGTATATATATATAAATACAATTAGGTAGTGCCTTCACTAGTTGGCTTCTTCCTTCACGATTTCATGTACAAAATATTATATCAAATATTCTTATTGTGCCTAATGGGTACAGATTGTATATATCTTATTAAAATTAAAAAAAAAAAAAAAATATGTAGAATATAGGTTCCTATAACATTTCAGTAAATTTATGATTTTATTATAAGAAAAATTTCTTATTTAATATCAATAATATTACTCACATAAAGAATATTCTGAGAACATGTGGCATTAGGAAAAATTGTATTATCTCTTATTTGATTTTGACTTGTAGAAATATTGATCTAATAAAATATAACTTTTATAATTTTCATTACGGTTAATATACATTTTAAAATACACTTAAAACTTACATAAGAAATATCTTGAAAACAAAAATCATCAGAAGACATTGAAATTTTATTTCTTTTATTTTGACACATATATTGGTTGTTCTAAATAATAAAATGTATAATTTTCATTAAGGTAAGCATGCATTTTAAAGTACACATCATTATGCTTACATAAGAATTATCTTGAAAACATGAATCATTAAAAGATGATGAGATTTCAATTCTTTTATCATCGTGACATATAGGAACATTCTGTAATTTAATGTTGGGATATAGTTCTGGTAGTTTTATGTAGTACCTAAAATATCTTATTTAATAAATGATTAAATTGGATGTGATCTTACTTGATGAATCTGTTTTTATTAATTTAACTGCTGTAAAGGATTCTTCGTTCTGAAGATTTAAGACGGCTATAGCTCCAGGTTTCAAACGGGGCCTTTTTAAATATATTTTAAATAGAGAGATGTCTAATGTCAACTATTGATTTGAGTGTAGTTATTATAATATTATGATTGATTTTGACAATAATTACAAAATTACACAATAAGTATGTTTCTACTTACAGAATATTTACTGTTTCCTTCACCTGATACCCAAGTATCTATTATATCATTCTCTAGAAAATGATCCCCACATATTCTAGATCTCTTATGTAAAGTTTTTCCCAACTATCATGTGAAATTGTAGGAATACGAAACCTTGATTTAGATGTCCCTAAACAATGATCAACATAACATTTGTCCAAACGAGGCATCGAAAATAATTAAAATTAACTTCAAGTATTAATTGAGTGATACTTTTTAAGTTAATAATCATAACAATGAACAAAATATGTACCACGAATTAAGATATACCTATATCTTAATTCGTGATATGTACCCATGTCAATCTGTAATTTTCTTATTTAAATTTCGAGGGAAAAATAATATCTTAATTCGTGATTCAAAATGAGAGGGTGATTAAATTAACTGATTATGTCTCGAGATAGCGCCAGTAGCCTGGCCGCAACGTAGCCTGTATATTTTAATTCGTGGCGCATGCCTATTAAAAATAGCATTAGGTATGAACAGTCAAAATTTAAAAAAAAAATCTGCTTTTTTATAATATTTAAGTATTTTAACTTGAGATAGTATATGATGGTTGCACTGCACAACAATATACTGTTTAATGTGTTCAAATGTCAATGTTCTCCTATTATCAGCTAATATTTGTTTATAAATTGAAAAACTTCTTTCGACATCTACAGAGGTGCAAATTTCATGTAGGTTATATCATCAAACGTGAAGTTTTCAGGAACGGTATCCTCATCTAGTGAAACAGTTTTTCCCTCCAAAATGTTCTTAATGTTTTTAATAGCTTTAAATCCGTTATTCTTTTTCAATTTTTCAATACAGTTTCAAGTTTTTTTGTATTTCTTTACCTTGACCACTGTTGTTTTCATTAATAAAAACTTAAGCTTCGTCAACTATACTTATTGCGTCAGTTAAAGAAAGTCCAGATTTTTCAAGGCGTGTAATTTAAGTGAGTAATTGGTTTTCACGAATGTAAAACTTGCCTCCAGTTCTTCCTTAGCCAATAGTTCTTGTAACTTTTTAATAGCTGTAGAGTCGTTTTTGTTGAGTTTGTTTCCAATGCCTTAATCACATGGCATAGAAATTTCGGGTGCAATACTCTTAAATAGAAGTACACGAGACGGAGCTTTATTTTAACATTTGATGTGAGAGCATTAATTTCGGGAAAATTATTTCTAATTTCCTCAGCAATCCCATGCAATCCGTGAGCTATGCAAGTGACGTGGATCATTTTCGAATAGAATGCACTGATACTCTTTGCAGCCTTAACCATGTATGCCGCTGCATCACTTAAAAATAATAAAACACTATCATGTTTGATACCAGTAGTTCACAAAATACTCATAGAATTGTCAAATAGTTTTGATATTGTACTAAAGTTTGCTTTTTCCAAAACTGGAGTCTAATAAAAATGTTCTAGAAGGGCAACTATTTTCCAATGTTTCAACAATAACGTTAGCGACATATCGGCCTTCAACGTCTGTCGTTTCATCTATGCTCACCCAAATCTTTTTGTTTTCTACGTATACTCTAATAGAAGCAAGAGTTTCATCATAACAAGTACTTACGTAGTCTTTTTGGATAGTAGACTTCAGGAATTTGCCGATTCATGTATTTTTTCAAAAAATTCTGAAAATTTGATTTTTTAGTTTGGCTAGTCGAATATTTGATGACAAGTAATATGTATTTGTATGTTCACCGTTCGTTTTTCAGCGGTAATTTTTTTTTGTTCAAACGGGAATGATCCGCTCGGACGACTCGGAATTACCGTATCACACAATACGGTGATTTCACACTCAATGTTCACCTATTTACCCCTCACACGAAAATATCTATCGTGTACACAAAACTATATTTTTTCATTCACGTTGGTTTCACTGTTTTTTTTTTAAATTTGATAAGCGACCTTTTAATTACGAAATAATTTGTTTGTTTCTATCTGAATTTTTAAGTTACTCGTTTTTTTTTTATTATTATTCAGTAATTAATGATTCGTTGTTTAGTGAAGTTGTGTTTTCTCAAGTTACTTACTCAATTTATAAAAAATGAATTTACAAAAATATATCAACGATTTTCAGTCTTTAGTTTATCGTGTACGAAGTAATTCGACTCTAGCGTATCCAGAATTTTCTTCTTTCCAATCACGTTTAAAAACTTACAAAAAATTTCCTGGAAATTATTTTCAAAATAAATCCGATCTTTCTGAGTGTGGATTAAAATATTCTGGTATTGAAGATATCGTTGAATGCTTCAGCTGCGGACTTATTCTTTATAATTGGGAGAAG